CTATGGACCCTGCTCTGGTCTTGATGTCGTCAGGGAGGATGGGGGTACAGAAGCTGAAGGGACCGGTCTAGTTGCAGGTAAGGAGCCGAGGATCAGGTACGTATATCTTCTTTTATTGTTCCTTTAAATGAGCAATGAGTGCAGGCACCGCCCCACTGCAATGGATCATTTTTTTTTACATGGGACATATGCTACCTAAACCTAGAAGTATCAGGTCTTTCTAATGGTGACAAATAGCAAAGAAGCTAAGCGAAGGTGAGTATATGCTGCTGCAGCGACCAGCACAGAAGAGAAAGTCTGGCTTTGCCACACATGGGCAAAGCAGAGGTGGACTTCAGAGACTTCTTTTCAGTGTGGCCCTCTGTGTCATTTGAATGTGCCTTGCCTGCTTTATAACCAGCAAAGGTGAGAGATTTCATATACGCTATGAAAGAGAAAACAATATCACACCCTTAGTGACACTGACATTTTATTTTATTTTTTTAAATCATTAGTAATATACCTCATCTGGAATATGCAATTCAGTTTTGGGCACCAATTCACAAAAAGAACATTGGGGAACTGGAGAAAATACAGAGAAGGGCAACCAAACTGATACGAGGCATGGAGGAGCTCAGCTATGAGGAAAGATTAGAGGAACTGAATTTATTCTCTCTTGAGAAGAGGAGATTAAGGGGGGATATGATCAACATGTATAATACATAAGGGGGGATATGATCACCCTGAATAATACATAAGGGGGGATATGATCTCCATATAAGGGGGATATGATACATAAGGGGGGATATGATCAATCTCCATGTATAATACATAAGGGGGGATATGATCTCCATGTATAATACATAAGGGAGATATGATCTCCATGTATAATACATAAGGGGGGATACGATCTCCATGTATAATACATAAGGGGGGATATGATCTCCATGTATAATACATAAGGGGGGATATGATCTCCATGTATAATACATAAGGGGGGATATGATCTCCATGTATAATACATAAGGGGGGATATGATCTCCATGTATAATACATAAGGGGGGATATGATCACCATGTATAATACATAAGGGGGGATATGATCTCCATGTATAATACATAAGGGGGGATATGATCTCCATGTATAATACATAAGGGGGGATACGATCTCCATGTATAATACACATAAGGGGGATATGATCTCCATGTATAATACATAAGGGGGGATATGATCACCATATATAATACATAAGGGGGGATATGATCGCCATGTATACATAAGGGGGGATATGATCTCCATGTATAATACATAAGGGGGGATATGATCACCATGTATAATACATAAGGGGGGATATGATCTCCATGTATAATACATAAGGGGGGATATGATCTCCATGTATAATACATAAGGGGGATATGATCTCCATGTATAATACATAAGGGGGGATATGATCTCCATGTATAATACATAAGGGGGGATATGATCACCATATATAATACATAAGGGGGGATCTCCATGTATAATACATAAGGGGGATATGATCTCCATGTATAATACATAAGGGGGGATATGATCTCCATGTATAATACATAAGGGGGGATATGATCACCATGTATAATATATAAGGGGGATATGATCTCCATGTATAATACATAAGGGGGATATGATCTCCATGTATAATACATAAGGGGGATATGATCTCCATGTATAATACATAAGGGGGGATATGATCACCATGTATAATACATAAGGAGGGATGTGATCTCCATGTATAATACATAAGGGGGGATATGATCTCCATGTATAATACATAAGGGGGGATATGATCTCCATGTATAATGCATAAGGGGGGATATGATCTCCATGTATAATACATAAGGGGGATATGATCTCCATGTATAATCCATAAGGGGGATATGATTTACATGTAAGGGGGGATGTGATCTCCATGTATAATACATAAGGGGGGATATGATCTCCATGTATAATACATAAGGGGGATATGATCTCCATGTATAATACATAAGGGGGGATATGATCACCATGTATAATGCATAAGGGGGGATATGATCTCCATGTATAAATACATCAGTGGTCCGTATAGTGAACTCGGTGTAGAGCTAATCACCCTGAAGTCATCACAGAGGACAAGGGGGCACTCTTTACGTCTGGAGGAAAATAAATTTAATCTCCAAACACGGAAAGGTTTCTTCACAGTGAGAGCTGTGAAAATGTGGAATAGACTCCCTCAAGAGTTGGGGTTCTGGCCATCTCAGTGGATTGCTTCAAAAAAGTCCTGGATTCTTTCTTAGATACACAGAATATAACTGGTTACTAATATTTATAGGTAAAGTTGATCCAGGGAATATCCGATTGCCTCTCGGGGGATCAGGAAGGAATTTTTTTCCCTGCAGGAGCAAATTGAAACATGCTTTGCTTGTTTTTTTTTTTTTTGCCTTCCTCTGGATCAACTGTGGGTGTAGGATTATAACTTTTTTTTTTTTCTATGGTTGAACTGGATGGACTTTTTTGTCCTTTTTTCAGCCAGACTAACTATGTAACTATAACCCAGAACTGTGAACTTCAGTGCTGTGTCAGTGCTGTGTCAGTGACTGCGGTTTATGAGCTTGCTGGAATTCAGCCCCACCTATCTCTGTGTTGGAAACCAGCTCACACAGCTCTCACTCTCTAATTAAGCTAAACACAGGTAATGTTTAATTGATCGACATGTAAAATTTCTGCAGACAGTCGCACAGTATGAAGCTGACTGATTACTGGTCTGCTAAGAAAATCTATCCCTGGGCGATTCAGTTATATGGGTTAAGAGGAAGTTCAGAAACTCAGTTCCTTTACTGAGGAGCCAGAAATTCCTTTTCCATCTCCAATCTCAGCATCTGGTAATTATTGGTCATAAAAATAAATAGGAAAAAAAACAACTACCTAGAGTCTGAGCCATTTTAACCCCATGGAGGCAAAACTCTGATTGCTGGAATTAAAGGAATATTCCACCTTTTTAAAGAGGAACTAAACCCTCTTCACCAGGGGCGGACTGAAAACTCATGGGGCCCCCGGGCAATAGGGGATCATGGGGCCCCTGTGTCCTTGCCCAAACTCAAAAAAGCCTATGAAAAAGATACCAAGGGCATCACATGGGGCCCCCTACTGACCCCGGGCCCTCGGGCAGTGCCGGAGTTTCCAAATGGTCAGTCCGCCCCTGCTCTTCACATTAACTGTTTTCAATCCTTGTGCTGCTAGCATTATTAAATAGATAGATAGGAAGGTATATTATATTTACTTGTTTAAAACTTTTTTTTTTTACCTTTCTTCAGTTGCTTCCTGGTTTCTGGTCTAGGTCAAAATGTTGTCATACATTCCAGGGGTCTTCATGGACAATTTTTATTTTTATTTATCAGCTTGCATGCCTGAACTAAGGGCAAATGGATTCCAGGAAGTAAAAACTACATGAATCAATTGCCCTTACTAAAGATGGCTGTGGCTAAAAATGCTTGGAAGGAATTTGTTTCAAAGTGATTTCTCAACAAACTAAAACATGGAAGGGTGAGTTTGGTTTGAATATTAAAAATAAAAATTGTGTTTTTTTCCAATCATGGAAACACAAGTGGTGTTCTGTACAATGTACATAGTTGTCCCAGAAATCCTGTTTCCTGTTCAGGTATCTGCCTTTCTACAATTCCCAAATGATAAACATACAAATGCGAACAAAGCGAAAGAGTCATAAATGCCTTAGTTGTTCGTTTTACTGTCACAAAAATAATCCAACCCGTTTTGGGGGAAATAACGCACCCCCTTCATGAAGACTCAGAATAGAGTAAGGATTTGAATTAACTCAAAGGAATCCTTAACCAAATGGACCTTTTTTTAATCTGGTTCAAAACCTCCTTTTGGGAATGATAACACTTTAATCAGAAGTAGAACTGGCGCCCATTTGTATGTCTGACCTTTGAGTTGCTTCCAGTTACTAATTGAGGGAGGCCTGGGTATTTGAGAGCTGCCTCACCAAAGCCCGTGTACTTGTTTGAAGATTAGCTTGCATTTGTACCACGAAAATAAGCATTGAAATCCCAGAACCTCTTAAATCTTCCAATCTCAGCCAGTGGGCTGATTGGGAAAAAGCAAATGGAGTAATCTTCCCTGTTGCATTATTGTATTCTGACAGCAGGGACTTCTCCGCTGTCAGAATATAATGATCTGCGCTGCAGGCAACTGATTGAATGAACGTTTTCCAATGGTCCAATTCAACAGACGTTGATTGTCAGACTGACTTCTGTCCAGGGGCAGACTGATAACTCATGGGGCCCCCGGGCAATAGGGGATCATGGGGCCCCTGTGTCCTTGCCCAAACTCAAAAAAGCCTATGAAAAAGGTACCAGGGGCATCTCAAGGGTCCCCCTACTGACCCGGGCCCTCGGGCAGTGCCCGAGTTTCCAAATGGTCAGTCCGCCCTGCTTCTGTCAAGTGGGAATGGCCATGGACAGAATTAGCAGGAACGGCGGCCATAGATGGACCGAAATACCTACTATCAATGCTGAACAAGTTGAATTTCAATCTATCTATGGCCGGCTTAAGCCTAACTAATTAACTATTAAGAATTTGTAAAGATGTTTGTTAAAATCATACAATATGTATAACAGACCTAGTGACACATTTTTTCCTCTCGAAAAAAAAGAGAAGATGCTTTTTTAAATCTCTACTTGGCCCAACCCATACTGCTGATTGCCAAAGGTGTAGTATTTAGAACATCTGCCATGAGTTTTATTGAGTGGGCAGCTAAGAAGCTTTATGGCTACCATCAGTTGCCTAAGCTAGATGGCTTTATTTGAACATCACAACCCATCCATGGAAACTGATAGGTGTTCAGTGCGGGCTATGCTGCTCAGACGCACTCCTTTCTTGGAAACCCACTGAAAATGGGATTCTGCTGACAAATGGCCATAACCTAACAGCTTGAAGCATAGTTGTGCCTTTTGTGGACTAATAAGTTTTCTGGAAAGATTTCCTACCTGCACCTCCTGGATGATGCTCTTGAACTGGGATGAGCGCTCTGTCCATGTGTTCACAAGCTCCATTGCTCTGTCAAAGTTTTTCACATACTCGCCATACATCTTGAGGAAGGGAGCTAGCTTTTGCAGGATGTCCCCAATCCGAGGATTGGAATCCCTAAAGGGAGTAAACAAAGTCTTTATTCAAATAGAATATGGCAGTACAACTGTCTCTCCTACGGGCACCAGCACTAATTACACTTAATTAATACACTACATTATTACACTAATTACACTAAATTTCTATTGACTGTGACAGTTTTATCTTAACATGTCAGAGGTCCCCTTTAGGTGGGATGGAGTACAGCCTGGTGTGTATATCCCTCTATGGACAAGTCAAGATTGCCGCCGGACCTCCGTGATCCGGCGGTGTGACATCACGGCGTTCGGCTCCTCCTTAACGTGTTTCGTACCAACGTACGTTGTCAAAAGGGGTGGCGGCCATCTTGAATTTCCATCTGGTCAGTGCACTAGGCAGCTTTATGGTGCATCTTTATTTGCTTCTACCCACGGATGTTCTAATATTTTATTACCTTCACCATTGCACAATAAATCTTTGCGTTTACCAAGTGCTACACTATGGGCATCCTTCTTTTTTGCTCTGTACCGAGCCTTTAATCTCCAGGATCCCAGGTGCAAACCCCAGTGTCCATAGAGGGATATCCACACCAGGCTGCACACCATCCCACCTAAAGGGGACCTCTGGCTGACTTCTAACCACCCCAGGCTCCAGAGGAGAGATTTCCAGACTGGGCTGTATTCGATCCCATCTATAGGGGACCTTGGGCAGACTACAGTATATTCATACACTGCGCATTTAAAATGCGCATCCTGTGAGTGTGCATTTTTACCAAACACCGCACGTCACTGGAATATCTGCTTGATACTACTGGGATAACAAGATTAGTTCACATCTGCATTTCTTGCACTTTATTGGGACTGTTTTATTCATATATCTGGTCATTATATATCTGGACATTATTAATATGGTGATCATTGACTAACTATTTATTAAGCATTATTTGTGATAATTAAGTACGCTATTTAAGCATTTTATTATAGTAATATTCAGCTATTTATCCAGTTTTTATTATTAGCACTGCACTTTTTACAATTGTATCAGTTTTAGAAGGTATACGGTTCCTTTCAGTGTATCAGCTGCTTCCACTATTAAGCGCTCGCTGAGTCCCGTTTTATTTTATCTTAACATGTACTTCCACTTTTGCAGTCAATTGGGATGGCGCTTATTTTATATTTGTTACATATCCCCATTCACATAGCATAACTTAAAAAAATTGCAGCTTAAGTTTTCTGGATGCTTTATTCTAGACCCGTTAGCAAGGAAAAATCCTGCATAGTTCTCTTTGTTTATGAGGGGGCTGGGCAGGTGTATTTGCCATATTTAACCCTGTCTGACCAGGCAGATCTTCACTATTAATTGTATCTGAAATTGAACACTGTCTGTCCTAACAAAGGATTAGCCCATAATACACACTATCTGCAGTGACAGATGTTTTACTGTATTGTAAAACGTTTATCACAAGGGCACACAGGAAACAATTGCTCTTTATGTGTCCCATTCACACTGCAACACAGGCTAGGCATTTTTATTGCAGGGCACTGTACAGAATCGCATGGCACTGTACGGCAGCGCAGCGCATTGCAGTGCTGTATAGCGCCATGAATGAAGTGTATGTTTTGCATATTCAAATTAAATTAAGTTTGTACAAAACAAAAAAAGGGAGCTGTGTGATGAGCTCCACACTGCCCCCTACTGCAGCCAACAGTGGCGTCGATAGCTGTTCACTACAGTGTGAACTCAGCTTGAAGGTTTAGGGGCTCGGCGCATTGCATTTAATGTTAAAAAAGACAAGTCTTGGGACAGACTCACTCTGACAATGTTAAAAAAAACAAGTGTCAACCATGACACTTTCTTCTGGGAAATGTCCAAAAGGTAAGAAATATTTTTAAAAAGCTTTTTCCTGAGCCAGCATGGCAGGATACAAGTGGTAGTATGCTGCCATAGATTGGCGCCAGGAGAGGAACATTTTGACATATATGTAATACAATTTTCCATTTTCCTGGCACCAACATGGCAGCATACTACCACATGGATGCTGCCATGGATTGATGCCAATAAAACAGATTATAGTAAGTATTTATTTTTTGTACGCATGCTATGTGAATTGGAACAGATGAAAACCTACAGCACGGTTTTCTCAAACTTGACTGCAAAAGTGGAAATGTGCTTAAAGTGCCTTATGTTCATGATAAGCAGATTGGCTCATGCTATTATCATGTGATTCCTAACACAAAACAATTAGTGGCATGGCAGTAATGGTAGAACTTAGAACTATAGCAGTGAGGCTTCATCCTGGTCCTAACATGTCCTGAAAGCACCAGGCGGCTCATTATTCTTTCCCCCTTTAAAGGCAAAACATCAATGTGCTCCACTTCCATCTGAAAACCAGGAGTAAAAAAATCTGTGATAATCATTAAAAGATCTTTAATTCCAAATTAATATGTGGTTGGTAGATGCCAATATGATAAACTCTAACTCTAGAAATATTTCATAAACTCCATTACTGGGGACATATACAAATATATATTTATAAATAACATGATATAATAATATAATATAATAGGACACTCCATTTTTTGTGCATGATATATATACAGTGGGGATCGAAAGTTTGGGCACCCCAGCTAAAAAAATTTGTATTAATGTGCATAAAGAAGCCAAGGAAAGATGGAAAAATCTCCAAAAGGCAATTTTAACCTCATCGGTCCACAGAACTTGTTTCAAAAATGCATCAGGCTTGTCTATATGTTCATTTGCAAAGTTGAAACGATGATTTTTGTGGTGAGGACGTAGAAGAGGTTTTCTTCTGATGACTCTTCCATGAAGACCATATTTGTACAAGTATCTCTTTATAGTGGAATAGTGTACCACAACTCCAGTGTCTGCCAGATCTTTCTGGAGGGATCGTGCAGTCAAACGTGGGTTTTGAATTGTTTTTCTCACAATCCTGCGAGCTGTTCTGTCTGATATTTTTCTTGGTCTTCCAGATCTTGCTTTAACTTCCACTGTTCCTGATGACTGCCATTTCTTAATTACATTCCGAACAGAGGATATTGACATCTGAAAATGCTTTGCTATCTTCTTATAGCCTTCTCCAGCTTTGTGAGCGTCAACTATTTTCAGTTTCAGTTTTCTAGACAACTGCTTAGAACAGCGGTTCTCAACCTGGGGTCGCGACCCCTTTGGGGGTCGAACGACGCTTCCACAGGGGTCGCCTAAGACCATCTGGAAAACACATTTATTTCCGATGGTCTTAGGAACCGAGACACGCTCCTCGCCGCCGCCGCCGCCGTCTCCAGTGTGGGCGGGATGACATGCCGCCCCTGTCATCTGGACACACCTCGAGATCAATCCTTGCCTGTGATTGGCCGCCGGCACTGTAGCTCAGGAGAGGCACACAGGCGGCCAATCACTGGCAAGGAGGTGGAGCTGTTTTGAAAGGAGGAGGAGCCGAGCGGCACCGCGAAGATGGAGCGAGTGAAGAGGAGGAGAGCGGCCGGAGAAGGAAGACAGCTGACAGGTAAGTGTGTACCATGGGAGAGGGAGGGAGCGAGCGAGCCCAGGCTGGAGCAGGGGTCAGCAAGGTAAGTATCATTGGTGTCAGTGGGAATAGTGCCCCATCATTGGTGTCACTAATACCAATAATGGGGCACTATTCCTCCCACTGACACCAACGATGGGGCACTATTCCTCCACTGACACCAACGATGGGGCACTATTCCTCCCACTGACACCAACGATGGGGCACTATTCCTCCCCCAAGTGACACCAACGATGGGGCACTATTCCTCCCCCACTGACACCAAGGATGGGGCACGATTCCTCCCCCCACTGACACCAAGGATGGGGCACGATTCCTCCCCCCACTGACACCAACGATGGGGCAGGATTCCTCCCCCACTGACACCAAGGATGGGGCAGTATTCCTCCCCCCACTGACACCAAGGAGGGGGCAGTATTCCTCCCCCCACTGACACCAAGGATGGGGCAGTATTCCTCCCCCCACTGACACCAAGGATGGGGCACTATTCCTCCCCCCACTGACACCAAGGATGGGGCACTATTCCTCCCCCCACTGACACCAAGGATGGGGCACTATTCCTCCCCCCACTGACACCAAGGATGGGGCACTATTCCTCCCCCCACTGACACCAAGGATGGGGCACTATTCCTCCCCCCACTGACACCAAGGATGGGGCACTATTCCTCCCCCCACTGTGATGGGGCACTATTCCTCCCCCCACTGACACCAAGGATGGGGCACTATTCCTCCCCCCACTGACACCAACGATGGGGCACTATTCCTCCCCCCACTGACACCAACGAGGGCACTATTCCTCCCCCAAGTGACACCAACGATGGGGCACTATTCCTCCCCCACTGACACCAAGGATGGGGCACGATTCCTCCCCCCACTGACACCAAGGATGGGGCACAATTCCTCCCCCCACTGACACCAAGGATGGGGCAGTATTCCTCCCCCCACTGACACCTATGATGGGGCACTATTCCTCCCCCCACTGACACCAACGATGGGGCACTATTCCCCCCACTGACACCTACGATGGGGCACTATTCCTCCCCCCACTGACACCAATGATGGGGCACTATTCCTCCTCCCACTGACACCTATGATGGGGCACTATTCCTCCCACTGATACCAATGATGGGGCACTATTCCTCCCACCGACACCAATGATGGGGCACTATTCCTCCCACTGACACCTATGATGGGGCACTATTCCTCCCACCGACCACCAATGATGGGGCACTATTCCTCCCACCGATACCAATGATGGAGCACTATTCCTTCCACTGACACCAATGATGAGGCACTATTCCTCCTACTGACACCAATGATGAGGCACTATTCCTCCCACTGATACCAATGATGGGGACACTATTCCTCCCACTGATACCAATGATGGGGCACTATTCCTCCCACTGATACCAATGATGGGGGCACTATTCCTCCCACTGACACCAATGATGGGGCACTATTCCTCCCACTGACACCAATGATGGGGCACTATTCCTCCCACTGACACCAATGATGGGGCACTATTCCTCCCACTGATACCAATGATGGAGCACTATTCCTCCCACTGACACCAATGATGGGACACTATTCCTCCCACCGACACCAATGATGGGACACTATTCCTCCCACCGACACCAATGATGGGGCACTATTCCTCCCACCGACACCAATGATGGGGCACTATTCCTCCCACAGATACCAATGATGGGCAATATTCCTCCCACAGATACCAATGATGGGGCAATATTCCTCCCATTGATACCGATGATGGGACACTATTCCTCCTCCCACAGACACCTATGATGGGGCACTATTCCTCCCACTGATACCAATGATGGAGCACTATTCCTTCCACTAGGACACCAATGATGAGGCACTATTCCTCCTACTGACACCAATGATGATGAGGCACTATTCCTCCCACTGATACCAATGATGGGGCACTATTCCTCCCACTGACACCAATGATGAGGCACTATTCCTCCCACTGATACCAATGATGGGGCACTATTCTTCCCACTGATACCAATGATGGGACACTATTCCTCCCACTGATACCAATGATGGGGCACTATTCCTCCCACTGATACCAATGATGGGGCACTATTCCTCCCACTGACACCAATGATGGGGCACTATTCCTCCCACTGATACCAATGATGGAGCACTATTCCTCCCACTGACACCAATGATGGGACACTATTCCTCCCACTGACACCAATGATGGGGCACTATTCCTCCCACTGATACCAATGATGGGACACTATTCCCCCACTGACACCAATGATGGGGCACTATTCCTCCCACTGACACCAATGATGGGGCTCTATTCCTCCCACTGACACCAATGACGAGGCACTATTCCTCCCACTGACACCAATGACGGGGCACTATTCCTCCCACTGATACCAATGACGAGGCACTATTCCTCCCACTGACACCAATGACGGGGCACTATTCCTCCCACTGACACCAATGACGGGGCACTATTCCTCCCACTGACACCAATGACGGGGCACTATTCCTCCCACTGACACCAATGACGGGGCACTATTCCTCCCACTGACCCCAATGACGGGGCACCATTCCTCCCACTGACACCAATGATGGGGCACTATTCCTCCCACTGATACCAATGACGGGGCACTATTCCTCCCACTGACACCAATGACGTGGCACTATTCCTCCTACTGCAAAATTACAGTTATGAAGTAGCAACGAAAATAATTTTATGGTTGGGGGTCACCACAACATGAGGAACTGTATTAACGGGGTCGCGGTGTTAGAAAGGTTGAGAACCACTGGCTTAGAAGAACCCATGGTGCTGATTGTTGGGGCAAGGTCAGATGAGTCTGGCATTTAAAACCTTTGAGATTGACATCACCTGGTCTTCCCAGATGATGATTGAGAGCAATCCATGACACTGGCAGGTCTCAGCTTTGCAAAGGGGCAGTGCATGCTATAAATTCTGCAGGGTGCCCAAACTTTTGCAGACGCCATTTTTTTGTTTTCTGTTATTTTGAAAGTGTAAATGATGGAGATAAAATCTAACTTTTGTTGACATATTATAAGAATGTCTAATCTGTAATTTGATGCCTTTTGGAGATTTTTCCATCTTTCCTTGGCTTCTTTATGCACATTAATACAAATTTTTAGCTGGGGTGCCCAAACTTTCGATCCCCACTGTATATATATATATCTCAATCAATCATTACAGTGAGTGTAGAAGGAGTATACTCTCGCTGCTACTAAACTATGTGAGAAGGTGAAGAGTCAAATACTCTTACAAGGAGATTTTGTCCATGAAGTCTAAGGGAAGTATAAGAATACCTGTACAGTAGATAAATAAAATAGCTAGTGCCCACCTATAGCTATCATATCATTTTTGGATGGACTTGTTGCATAAAAGTCCTGTTAAGTCGACTGTTCATTGAAGCTTATACATTGAGAGGTCAAACCATTGTGTGTATGCAGCTTTATAAATCTTACCACTCTTGCATGCGCTTTTCCAGCTCTGGCAGGAGGAACTGTTGATGGAAGCAATATATGGAACAGATGTTGGAGAAAATTCCCATAACTACTTCAATAGGGAAAGAGCCTTTTGTTCCAGCTTCCTCTATGAGCCGAGCGCAGAACACCTGCAAAATGAAAGAAGATGTGAATATAGAAATCCATACTGGTTCTGGAGTAGTCTTTTCAAAGTTTTTGGGATTTACATGTGAAAGAGATCAGCTTGATGGAAGTTGTCTTGTCAATTTCTAGTAATATTTTGGTAACTTTGCTCCTACTTTTAGATTGTAATTATATATGAACATGAGGACAGCCAAATTTTCTCAAAACAACTATTTTATTACACTTTACATTCATCAACAGACTTGTGTCTGTTAACACCTGCCTACTTCTGGATCCAATTGGGTCCGCTAAAAAAATGGAAGGGAACTACGTTCTCTTCCATTTAGGCGGAGCAGATTGGAGCTAACAAGGTGTAAAAGGACAGTAGAATCAGTTTAATCCTGGCCACCCATACAGCAGAGTGGGCTCTGCTCTGAAGATACTGAGTGTACATGGATGTGTCATCCGTCTGCTCTGCTCAGTAATTTTGTTTTTTGTTTAGCTCTTATCAGCAGGAAATCTGTCAGCTGATGCCCTGCTGGTCGGAGCAGAATCCGCTCCATGTGAAAGGAGCCTTAAAGGCCACAATAATCCCACACTTTGTACTTTCTTTATAGTCCTGTACCTTTGCAGTAAAAATGTTGCTTCCCGCTTTCCTACACCAATGCTCTGTGCTGGCATAGCTGAGTAACAGCCACACCCCTTAACAGTGGGAGGAAAAAGTCCTACCAAAGATGTAGTAGAGGAAGAGATGGGGTGTGTCAGACCAGTTTTGTTATTATGGAACGTGGTCATACATGGATCAGATTTTGGACTATTCCTGTTCATTGGACTATTCCTGTTCAATCAGCCGACATTAGTTCAGGAAGTGGCCCTGTCGGCACATCTGACAAACGCCTTCTTGCAATCAGATGCATGCTCAGGTATTCTGACAACCACCGGTGCTGGCTGTCAGAATACAATAGCCAGTACTGCGGATTCATCCATCCACACTATTAAAGGGTTAATTCACCTTTACCAAAAAAAAACTATCTTTGCAGGTAAGGGGTGCCTGTAAAAACAAACTGTGCAGCTTTGACTAAAGTTGGATATTGCCCTGGCGATAGGTGTAGGCCTGTTTTGTCTCTCCAATCTAAGCATTGAAAGTGTGATCTCTGTAACTTACAGTTGTGATGAGATAGCGATAACTCCAATCTTAGTTGAATAACACAGGCACATCGATCAGATGACACCTGTAGATCTTGTGAAGTTTATTCCATAAACTGAGAGAATCTTACAACAATGAACATCGGATAGGTCAAAAGATCATAATGTGATCTGCTTCATGACATGAGGCTTGAAGCTGAAATGCCTTACTGGGAAAAGGGGTGGGCTATTTATACAGCAAGAACTAAACTAAAGTAAAGGGAGGAGCAGAGACATAATACAAAGAACATTTAAAGGCATATGACAGTCATGTGAAACATGACAAGGCCCATATATGAACCTCTCAAAGCCTAGCTGAAAAGCCCCCCCAAAAATCCCAGAGATAGCATCATCCTATCCTTCCCTGTTGCTAGGGTGTTGCTATGACACTCCCAGAAAGTTACTGCTCACCCCCACAATCACAGGAATGAACTCTCAAACCCCCACACATGTGTGATCCACTATCTCCTCCATCCACAGCATCCATAGGCTCAGAGCTATTGCAACAAGGGAAGAGGGAGAGCGCATGCCAAAGGGATTTGAATTAGCTGGGAATGTCATAGCATAGTCCTAACAAGGCAGGACAGGATGATGCCATCTTTGGGAGCTTTTCAGTCAGGCTTCAGAAGGTATATGGCCTACACCTAAAGCAAGGGTATTATTTACCTTTGGTCATAGCGGCACAGTTTGTTTCTACCTACAGACGTCCCTTACCTGTATAGGCAGTTTTTAGTAAAGGTGAACTAGGCTTCTTTATGCTTGGATGGGGGGATTGAGTGATTTTTCTTATTCAGCGCGCCTGGTTATATCATTCATTCACAGATTTCTGTGAATGGAAAACGGCAAGTACCCACAGCCTTTGTGGCTACCGGCTTGTAGTTCTACATGAACTACAACAGCGCAGTTGAGCACTCTGGTAGTTCATTGTCTCTCCTGTCAGTATGTATCTGCTTGTCCGTACAAGATAGGAGCAGACAGATACACTGACAAGTCTGCAGGAGTCCTGCATGGCACCCGTGATCAGCTGATGCTTTCTAGGCTTATAGTAAATAAAATAATAAATGACATTTTTTTAACCTGCAAAGGTTGAGAACTTATCCTTTAAAGGGTCGGTTCACACTACATGTGCTCCAGTGAGTTTTTTTTTAATTTGCATCATGGTTGTCAATGGAATAGTTCACACCAGTGCATGCAGTTCCAGTGCATTCCGGTTCCAGAAAAAAAATAGAACATGCTGCTGCTTTTTGCCTGCACATAACTGTACTGGAAAGTGGTTACTCAAATAAAAAATGCACCGAAATACACTGGAATGCATAAAAAATGCACCAGACCCCAAATGACCCAAAAAAGGAGGAAAAAATGCATCTGCAATGCATCAAAAACGCACCAGAACCTGTCAAAAACGCACATACAGAAACGTATCCAGACTGCATTTCTAAGGTGTGAACTGGCCCTAAGAGCCTTATATCTATCTTTATTGCCTACTGGACTGCACAGTCATATTTTTTTTTTTAACAGACGGTTGCACATATGTAGACACAAGGGTTGATTTACTAAAATTGGAGAGTGCAAAATCTGGTGCAGCACTGCATACAAACCAATCAGTTTCCAGGTTTGACTGTCACAGCTTAATTGAACAAGCTGATGTTAAAGGCTGATTGGCTACCATGCACAGCTGCACCAGATTTTGCATTCTCCAATTTCAGTAAATCAGCCCCCACTGTACATCTGCTATAACAGGAAAGTGGAGGTAAGACTATGAAAATGGAGGTTGCTAGTACAACGCCTATCTCAGGGCTTGAAATTTCCACTCGCCTGCTTGCCAATGGCGAGTGGACATTAATGTGGGGGCGAGTGTGTCCCCAGGGCCGTCTTGCTGAGCAGGCTCGGAGCTCAGGCCGGATCTGTCATTGGCACCGGGAGCCGTCAGACTGCTCAATAGCCGAGCGCAGTGAAAGCAAAGCAAGGAGTGTGTGCTGTGTTCTCTGCCTCCCCCTAGAGTGCAGTACCCGGATCTGTGAGTGAACAACGAAGTACTGCAACTTTTTATGGGGGGGGGGGGGGTGTACGTACGTGTACATGTGTGAATGTTTCTGTGTATGCATGTGTGTGTGTGTTTGTGTGTGTCTGTATGCATGTACAATTGTACATGTGTCTGTGTATATGTACATGTGTGTATCTGTACATGTTTCTGCATGTATATACATGTATGTGTGTGTACATGTGTCTGTGTGTGTATGTACATGTGTGTGTTTGTGTGTATGTACGTACATGTGTCTGTGTGTACATGTGTCTGTGTATGTATGTACATGTGTCTGTGTGTGTGTATTTCTGTGTATGTACATGTATCTGTGTGTATGCTGCAGTTCTGTATGTGCCTGTGTGTGTATACATGTGTCTATATGTGTGTGTGTACATGTGTCTCTGTGCATGTATGTACATGTCTATGTGTGTGTACAGGTGTCTCTGTTTGTGTGTGTTTGTTGGTGGCGAGTAACTCTAAGGCCTGGCTAGTAGCCCAGGACGTGAAATTTAAGCCCTGGCCTATCTGACTGCTTTTTCCATAGAACAATTTCCTCACCTGGTCGAGGAGATGTAAGCGGGACACATAGGCCTTTTCAGTCTGCAGGAGCTCATTAGCGATGTTATATACTTTTTGGCGTGCTGTGAACTGTAAAAAGAATTACATTCAAATGACTGAGAAGAACAGGAAGAAACACAAGAAACAATCATGTAGTTATAACAATAAAGGACTACTAAACACTGACTGAATCATTTCTTGCAATGAGTATATTATTAACATCTAAGAACAGGCATATAACCATTTCAGATTATTACCAATATTATTTTTTAAAATTAATACTAATGTACAGAATTGCTCCGCAAGCGCATTAAATAAATGTCTGTTGACGCACGCACGCACGCACGCACACACACACACACATTAATTGGATTCTGTCTTATTTGTCCCTAGTATGTGTATGTATGAATGTAAGTTAGGGACCTTAGATTGTACATCCCTTGAGGGTTAGGGACTGATGTGAATGTATAATATATATGTAAAGAGCTGTGTAAATTGACAGTGCTAAGTAAGTACCTGTAATAAATAAATTGTATATATATATAATTTGTTTTATGATTGTTGCTTCTTCAAAGAAACCTGTCACCAATGTACCTTTAATGAGGAGCTGGGCCAGCATACTTGCTAGGCACTTTCAGAAGGGGAGAGAGCTGTTACATGCAAGGAGGGAGAGATACTGGCTCTTTCTGGAGTGGTTGAATTACTTAGCAAGTTCAAAGGCACATTGCAAGTGGACAAAAAAAACAACGTATTTAACCTATTGCTGCATGCATAACACATGTGCAGTGGAAAAAGGGTGGGCTTTAACGCCTACACGTTGCACATATGCGTCACGGGGCTGCTCATGTTTCTGTGCTGACAGTGTGCTTGCTACACACTCCAAGCACAGAGACCGAGCTGCCAAAGACAGCTCTCAGTCCCTATTACCATTCAGTAGCCAGTGGGAGCAGCTCCCAATGATGTGACCACTGTGATAGCCAATTACAATGTCCACATAATCACTGATCCTTCCTACCCCGCCAATCCCCTGGCAATTGGGACTTTTGAGAAGCCCACAGACAACAGAAGATAAGAGATCCTGCAGTTTTGGCTGATTGGAGATTTGGGAGATAAAGGCATATTCATAGTGGCAGGGAGATTGGAGTTGTCAGAGAAAACCTCATTTTGACAGGTTAAGAAATACATTTATCATCACTCTGATCAGCATTGCCAACAGTGTCTGCCTGTGCCACTACCTCTACCTCCCACATTGATATTAACTGTCTATGGTGGGATCAGCAGGACTCTGAGGGTGGATGAATCATGCCAGCAGGTCTGGGTGCCCAGTAATATCTGTAAACAGTCATTAAACTCACCACCACCACAGAGCAGTTGTTACCAAACCTTTGATTACTCAAAGTGTGATTACACAGAATGCAATTTTATCCTGAAACATGGCCACCCCCTTGGCTGCTGGAGCTGGTTGTGTGGGCTGAAAAAGGTCACTTTCTGGCCTGGACAACATCCAGCAAACTTTGCATTTCAGATCTTGCATTCCAGTATCCACTCCTCAGTTATGTCGACAGATATGGCGCTGGCTCTTTGCAGCAAAGAGTGGAATGGTTACAGCAAAAAGTGGGGCTCCAGATAATGTGGAAGAATTTGTTCTTGGGTGTTTCCATTGGGAAGTGATGGTAAATCTTTCAAGTGAGGACAAAGACAGCAATAAAAACCTGGAGAAAAATCCATCCTACACCTTCATGTTTAACACATTGAGGAGGGTGTACTGCCAACGAATTTACAGTGAGAATCTAAATAGCAAAAATGGCCAGCACATCAGGATGTAAATAAAATCCCACCAGCCCTCTGGAGACACTATAGCCTCCTTTCTGAAGGTGACAACCAACCTAGGGTCTATGGTCCCCTTTCTCAAGTTGACTGACCAACACTATGGTCCCCTTTCACAAGGTGACAACCTACCTTGGGTCTATGGTTCCCTTTCTCAAATTGACAGACCAACACTATGGCCCCTTTTCTCAAGGTGACAACCTACTTTGGATCTATGGTTCCCTTTCTCAAATTGACAGACCAACAATATGGCCCCTTTTCTCAAGGTGACAACCTACCTTGGATCTATGGTTCCCTTTCTCAAGTTGATAGACCAACACTATTGTCCCTTTTCTCAAGATGACAACCTACCTTGGGTCTATGATCCCCTTTCTCAAGTTGACAGACCATCACTATGGTTCCCTTTCTCACGTTAACAGACTGCCACTATGGTCTCTTTTCTTAAGGCGACAACCCACCTTTGGTCTATGGTCCCCATTCACAAGTTGACAGACCAACACTATGGCCCCTTTTCTCAAGGTGACAAACTACCTTGAGTCTATGGTCCCCTTTCTCAAGTTGACAGACCAACACTATGGTCCCCTTTCTCAAGGTGACAACCTACCTTGGTTCTATGGTTCCCTTTCTCAAGTTGACAGACCATCACTATGGCCCCTTTTCTCAAGGTGACATCCTACCTTTGGTCTATGGTCCCCTTTCTTAAGTTGACAGACCACCACTATGGTCCCCTTTCTTAAGGTCTGCCACCTTGAGAAAGCAGACCATAGTGTCTCCAAAACATCAGAGATTGTTATGTTTTCTTTTGTTTAAGCTATGCTGTCATCACAAGTAAGACCTCAGTAAAGATTCTAACCCTTCTACACTCCAAGGCTAAAACAAGTTTTGGATGGAGTCACATAATGAACAAACTTTTCTTTGTAGTACAGCATATAATTGAAGTTTCTGCATCGCCATAAAATTAACAGGAGAGTACATACAGACACTAGGGAAAGGCAGGCCATTAACAAGATAAGGGGTTGCTGCTGTGAATGAAACATAACTGAAGTATTTTGTATGTTTTGTCTCCGCGTGGGCAGTGTATAATCTAATAAACGACTCCAAGCTCTATTGATCCAAAGCTGCTATCTACAGAAATGTTGCACAACAGCTGATGCTTGACAATCTCCCACAACCCAGACTCTTCATGAGTCATTTTCTGATTCAAAATCTTCAGACATAACACTGCCAACTAATTGGTGAGCGAACAGATATCCAATTGTTTTGGGTTTAGAGAAACTGGGCATATTTTGTGGCTCAATTACATTGAGGTGCTCTTTTTGTGTAACTAAGAATTCCAGTACAGATGTGGCATAGCATGATCACCTGTGATTGATCTTAATCTCAACAAACCCTGTAACAGGCTTGTTTTTACTATCATTGGAAATCATTGCAAGGCAGTAGCAATAGTAATTCACTGTGCATTAGCACATACCAATTTCTGTATTAGAGCTCTCAATAGTTGTACAGTTTTGAGACAGGGTAATCGGTTATGTCCAGAAATTCCCCATTGTGACCCCAAACCTCCCTCTTACCCTCTAGAACAGTCTTTCCCAAACTATTCACCCCAGAGGTACACTCAAAATCATTTTCAGGTCTCAGGGAACCCTGCTAAAACTAATTTATCGGGGGTCAAGGGGAAGAATGCTCCTTAACATTGGTTGTCAGCAGAGCCATGGATAAGGGGGTACCACCAGTCCTCCTGTATAGGCCCAGGGCAGCAAGGGGGCCCAGGCAGATGGGTGAATCGGATGTGGGCAGGGGAGGTGATCGTCACAATGGAGAGGCAATTACTGGAACCGATCCCCTGTAAGGCTCTCTCAGCAGCAGCTAACAGCTGGCTTCTTCTCTTCTCCTTCCTGCTGGCTTTCAGCTGCTGCAAAGAGAGCCAAACAGGGGATCGGTTCCAGTAGTTATCCCCCCTCCACATCCATCACCCTACCTGTGTAGCATATGTTTCCCCTTGCTGCCCAGGCCCCGCTGTGTACCCCCACCCCTGCAGTGCTGCCAGCTTCCTTCCTCTCCTTCCCATTGGCAGCTGAAAGCACAAAATAGGGTCCTTTAGGATGGAGAGTGGGGGAAGGGTCCAATAAATATGTCACATTTACCAGCCCCTTCGTTTCTTGAATGAACACTGTAAGTGATCGGTACCAATCACTCACTGTGTTCACTTATAACTGAAGCATAGTAAACTGTGTTTTTCTATTTGGAGGGGGAGGTTCTGTCAGGTTCGCTGTATGGGGCCCTGTGGTTTCAAACAGCAGCTCTGGTTGTAGGTGAGAAGAGTATCCCTTACACTGGAGGTCACTGAAAAGAATGCTACTTACAATGGTGGTCAGTGGCAGGAATGCTTTTTACATTGGTGGCCAGTGGAAAGAATGTTCCTTGCAATGGTGGTCAGTGGTAAGAGGTACACTTGAAATCATTTTCAGGTCTCAGGGATGCTTTTTACATTGGTGGCCAGTGGAAAGAATGTTCCTTGCAATGGTGGTCAGTGGTAAGAGGTACACTTGAAATCATTTTCAGGTCTCAGGGGTTAAGGGGAAGAATGCTCCTTAACATTGGCTGTCATTGAGAAGAGTATCCCTTACAGTGGGGGTCACTGAAAAGAATGCTACTTACAATGGTGGTCAGTGGGAGGAATGCTTTTTACATTGGTGACCAGTGGGAAGAATGCTCCTTACAATGGTCATCAGTGGGAAGAATGCTCCTTACATTGGAGGTCAGTGGGGAAAAATGCTCCTTACACTAATGATCAGGAGGGGGAAGAATGCCCTTTACATTAACAGTCAGTAGGAAGAATGTCGTTTACATTTGTGGTCAGTGGGAAGAATGCTCATTGCATTGATGGTCATTGGGAAAAATGATCCCTACACTGATTATCGGTAGAAAGATTACCCATTACCTTGGTGGTTAGTGTAAAAGATTGCTTCTTACATTGGTGGTCAGTAGGAAGAATATCCCATACAATAGTGGTTATTGGAGGGAATAACTCTTATATTGGTGGTCTGTGAGAAAATGCTTCCAACTTTAATGGTTAATGAATGATTCCTCCTCAGTCAGTAGGAAAAATACCCTTTATAATGTTAGTCAGTGGTAAGAATGCTCCTTACATTGGTGGTCAGTGGTAAGAATGCTCCTTACATTGGTGGTCAGTGGGAAGAATGTTTCGTACATTGATACTCAGTGGGAAGAATGCTCCTTACATTGATAGTCAGTGGGAAGAATGCTCCTTACATTGGTGGTCAATGGGAAGAATGTTTACTACATTGGTGGCCAGTGGGAAGAATGTTTCGTACATTGATAGTCAGTGGGAAGAATGCTCCTTACATTGAAAGTCATTGATACAGCATTCTCTTCTAGAGCCATAACAAAAACACCAACTAAGGAATGATGGAAAGGCACCAAAGAAGGAATGGACCTATAAGTAATCTTATGTCTCCATAAAAACATAGAGCATTTGATTAGCACATCGAGTGCTCCAAACAGCAACCAGCATTCGATCATAGCATAGAGCCAATGGCTGCAGCACTGATCTGTGCATTCTGATGGAGGGGGGGGGGTCCCTGCTGTAAGAATACAATAGTGTGGCAGGGGAGCTCCCTGCATCTAGATCGCTATTTGAATGAAAACAAAAACTCTCTGTGTATACCATGCATCTGTCATTTTGCAGTAGAGGTGAAACAGGACTAATCTGTGAGAGATGTGCATATGCAGCAAGAAACTGCACAGATAAAAGGTTTTACATGATTTTGCAGAACTAAAAAAAGCCACAATTTCTGGGGTGAAAATACTTGTTTGATGTAATATGAATAAGCTATTTCACAGTAGCTGATGATACACTAGAAGGAAAATGCACGACTGGAGTCGAGGCTTGATGTGATGATTCAAATCTGTTCCAGTGATAACTGTAAGGATAGGACTGATCACTAGACAGACATATTCCACATACACATGCCGAACAGCTGTTTGATTTGAACACTCAGCAACCTCAGCTTACCTTGCATGAGTCTATCCTCCCAACCGGAATCTCTTCTTCTCCCCCACTGCCGTCCTCCATGTCGCTATCACCCTCTGAGTCACGAGTAGAGCCATGTTGTGCTGTAATATGTGGGGGCTCCATCTCTTCTCTCCCACCTTCCTCCACCTCTCCAAGGAAGCACATCTCCTCGCTGGTAGATGGAGAGCTGATGCTGTCAATGCCACTGTCCCTGTTTGCCAGTTTTCCTAAGGAGTCCTGTTCCCCCCTTTCTTCTGCATCTCCCCCGCCCACTACAAGTCTTCGCCTCCTCTCCAGACTGGACTGAGATACATCTGGTTCAAGAAGATCCAGGAGTTTGCTCTCCAGATCTCCCATACTGTAACCAGAATGTTGAGAGGGCCCGTTGTTGACCTCAGTGTGGCTGTCAGCGTCGTTGACTGGATAAATGCGTTCAGGTGGGATGATTGGCTCTCTGTGGAGTAAAGATTCCAAACAGTGGTTAGTAGATTATCTTCCAATATGGAGCCATGTACGGCAAGCGTTATACTTCCCTGTCCACACTCCTTAGAGATCTTTCCCATCCATTATGCCATCCAACAGTGAAGAATGTCTCCACAGAAATTAATGTAAACCTTTAAAGTGGTTGTAAACCCCTACATTTACCCAGTGACTGGCCTCAGGTGATACACAGAGAGAAATCAAATCCTTCTACATAGCTTGTACCTTTTTAGCTGTAGCCGTCTTTCCCCTACATCCATTCAAAGTGCAGAATTTATGCGGGATCTCTCAGCTCTGAAAAGCTGGAGGTGGGAGAGCTCAAGTTACACTCTGCAGAGCTCAGTTAGAAGCTGATTGGAAGGAAGAGACACCCCCCCCCCCTCCACACAGCACACAGAAGCAGGGCTGGGGCTGTCAATCAACAGAAGCTCCTTCCCCTATCACCATTTTTCTCTTGGTGTCATGAAAACTTGTCAGACGTGACTCATGCTGTTATCAGAGGAAGGAGGCAGCAGACAGAAATGGCACTTTCTGCTCTGGATTGAGACAAGTACATACTATAGAGGGATATGCTTTGTTCACATTCTATGTCTGAGGTTTACAACTACTTTAAGAAGAGATCCATTGGAAATGCTGTGGTTGTTGTATGGTTCCTAGTGAGAAACAAGGGGAGATCTCTGAGAAGTAAAGAACAAGGGAGAGTAAGACTTTGAAATGTGGAAGAAGGAGGGTTACACTTATCTCCAAATAACTACAACTCAAGCCAAAAACTTTTTTGTTTTGGACAGAAGAGAAAGGGAAAAAACCTCAATAAGGTTGTTATTTGCAGTCTGTGTCCCAATTTTCCCAAATTCCTGTCCCCACAACTAAACACTGTTCAGTAAAATGGAGAAGGGTTAAAACCTCTCTCAGGTTATTAATACAGTCCCAATGACAACCACATTTAATTTCCTGTAGTCAGGAAGTGAGATGAAATCTCTCCAGTGGGGGTTACAAAAAGCAATAAAAACTTGATAAAAATAAAAAAAAAAGGTTTGGGCTAGATTTGGGTTTTAGAGGATAACTATCGTATTAACTGTGCTAAGTTTAACTGCCCTCTACATGCCATTAACAATCCTCACTGCAGACCTCAGATCTCTGGACCACCTGGACCAAAACCTATGCCCTATGTTCCCAACCTCCAGTTTTTTCTATAGGCACTAATAGAGAAGCCACCTACTTGCAAGGCTTAAGGTCCATGGCTTTTCCATTATGACCTGAATGGAAAAGGCATTGCCTGTGCAGTACGTGCGGCCCTGAGAGCACTGATCGACTCAGCATCAGTTACGGCTCTTGTAACAATTTGCCTGTATATCTGAGGTTTGAAGAGCAGAAGCTTGAAAAGCCTCTCTCTGACAATAGCTTGGTCTAGCAAAGGTCAGGAAGCCACTGCAGACAGTGGGCTGTTTCAACGTATCTGACATAAAAACTGTCTGTATCGTCCTATAGAAACCAGATTCCAACCTTCATTTTTCATAGCAGGTCTGAACATGATTGTTTGCTGTGTGACAATACACAGTTCTTTTGTACAGCACAGGGGTTGATTGACTAAAACTGGAGACTACAAAATCTGGTGCAGGTGTGTATGGTAGCCAGCTTCTAACTTCACCGTGTTCTGTACAATAGCCAATCAGCTTCTAACTTCACCGCGTTGAGTACGATAGCCAATCAGCTTCTGACTTCCCCATATTGTGTACGATAGCCAATCAGCTTCTAACTTCACCGTGTTGTGTATGATAGCCAATCAGTTTCTAACTTCACCGTGTTGTGTATGATAGCCAATCAGCTTCTAACTTCACCGTGTTGTAAATGATAGCCAATCAGCTTCTAACTTCAGCATGTTGTGTACGATAGCCAATCAGCTTCTAACTTCACCATGTTGTGTACGATAGCCAATCAGCTTCTAACTTCACCATGTTGTGTACGATAGCCAACCAGCTTCTAACTTCACCGTGTTGTGTACGATAGCCAATCAGCTTCTAACTTCACCGTGTTGTGTACGATAGCCAATCAGCTTCTAACTTCACCATGTTGTGTACGATAGCCAATCAGCTTCTAACTTCACCATGTTGTGTATGATAGCCAATCAGCTTCTAACTTCACCGTGTTGTGTACGATAGCCAATCAGCTTCTAACTTCACCGTGTTGTGTACGATAGCCAATCAGCTTCTAACTTCATACGATAGCCAATCAACTTCTAACTTCACAGCCAATCACTTCTAACTTACGTGTTGTGTATGATAGCCAATCAGCTTCTAACTTCACCATACTGTGTACGATAGCCAATCAGCTTCTAACTTCATGAGTACGATAGCCAATCAGCTTCTAACTTCACCGTGTTGTGTGCAATAGCCAATCAGCTTCTAACTTCACCGTGTTGTGTACGATAGACAATCAGCTTCTAACTTCACCGTGTTGTGTGCGATAGTCAATCAGCTTCTAACTTCACCGTGTTGTGTATGATAGCCAATCAGCTTCTAACTTCACCGTGTTGTGTATGATAGCCAATCAGCTTCTAACTTCACCATGTTGTGTACAATAGCCAATCAGCTTCTAACTTCACCGTGTTGTGTATGATAGCCAATCAGCTTCTAACTTCACCATGTTGTGTACGATAGCCAATCAGCTTCTAACTTCACCGTGTTGTGTATGATAGCCAATCAGCTTCTAATTTCATTGTGTTCAACTAAGCTTTGACAATCAAACTTGGAAGCTGATTGGTTTTTATGCACAACTGCACCAGATTTTGCACTCTCCAGCTTTAGTAAATCAACCCAATTGATGGATAAGTCTTGATAGTAATTTGCTCCACAAGTGGTCACTCCTACATGGAGCTGATGTCGAATATTCACATCTGCTGGACTCTTCACTACAAGGAATGCTGAGAGATGCAAATGTAAATGCCAAAAAAATTAAAGATCTGTTTAATTACTTTCTTTTAATTGAGTGAAATTCTTTTATAATGACATGCTGATTTGATACTTAAAATTCCACAATTTTTTTACAGTGTGATAATCTTCAGATGATGTCATTTTCATGTCTGTGGTGGTGTGGTACATAAACAGTTACACAGGCATTCTCTGAAGAATATTTGGCCGCAATATTTGCAATGATAATATGTATACGCCTCCAACAGGAAACAAAGTGCAAATGATGTGATGGAACGCTTTGATAACGAAAACCGTAATTCTGTTTTTAATGGTAAAGTTCTGTTACTGTGGGAAGGGGGTAAAGATCAAAATCAGTAGGACTGAGTGTAGGGACTGTATTAAAGTGAACCTGTGTCCAGGGTACGGACATTCTAATATTTACATATTCTTAGCAAGCAGTAAATGAGCTTTAACACAAGCCCTCACTATTTGAAGGCACACTCATCCACCTCACAGCAAAAGCAATGAAGTCCAGCCCTTCCAGTACTCTTGTTCTGTATTGACATTATAGATTAGAAGGCTGGAAGACTGCTCAGTCACTGCTGGGAGGGGGAGCAAGGGCAGCTATATTGAAGATACAACTAACTTGAACACCTGAGTGCATCTGCTATGAAATTAAAGCTGAACTCTAGGTATGGTTTCTATTGCACAGTTACAAGACCAATAAAAGTATACATTTTCCATACCTGCGGGATACCTGTGGAAGCTGGAGATCACTACCCGACACTACTACATTGATCACTGTGGTTTTCTGGGTCCTGGCCGCCATTTAGAGAACACTTGGCATCTTTTTCAATCCATACAAAGCATTCTCTGATTGGATGAGGTGGAAATCATGATGTCACCATCTCACCTCTTCACTTGTCCAATTGTAGAGTACTTTGCATTCATTGGGAAATTGCATAGTTTTATGTACTTTTTTTGTGCTGCATTGAGTTGCATCGGTTTTTATATTTCAGTAATATACTTATTTCTAGTGGAGGTTTTTTACCCACAACAACTCATTTACTATTTGATTTTGGTTTCTCCTTCTGCTCTCTCTTTGTGTTTAAAGCTAGTTAGTTCACTCCTTGCTGGACTCTCCCTATTTCTTCCATGCTCCCTCATTCAGTGTTAGTACTTCACAGAGACATTTATTTATTTAGTTCAGGTACTTATATAGCGCCATCAAGTTACGCAGCGCTTTACATATATATTGTACATTCACATCCGTCCCTAACCCTCAAGGGGTGTACAATCTAGGGTCCCTAACTTACATTCATATACATACATGCTAGGGCCAATTTAGACAGGATCCAATTAACCTACCAGCATCTTTGGAGTGTAGGAGGAAACCCACGCAAGCACAGGGAGAACATGCAAACTCCAGGCAGGTGGTGCCGTGGTTGGGATTCGAACCAGCGACCTAGTACCGCCAGGCGGAAATGCTAACCATTTAGCCTTAGGAAAGTCATTGTCTTTTTACACTACAAAAGACTGGAAAAGCAGACACGGTACTGCAATTAACTGAAATGAAATTGTGTTGAACTTCTGTGCCTTATTAAGCTGACTGTGAATGGTGGCAGGTGAGCAGGTGACATTACTCTGCAGGCTGACTGGGTCTAAAGGGGTATGTCAATGCATAAATTGGCAAATATAAAAGAATACAAAGCGTTCTCTGAATGGCAGGCGTGCCAGGTGAGCAAACCCCTGTGGTTGCTATGCAGCCAACCCAGAAGACCGCTACCATCACTGTCGTAGTGGCAACTACTAAAGCAACTTCCAGCTTCCATAGGGAGTCCACAGGTATAGATTATGCATACTCACATTGGTCAATCTGGATCAATGTAACTATACAATACAAATCATAACTGGAATTCAGTTTTAAGGATGAATTGCTGCATAGTGCCTGCAGCTATAGAAGTCAGTGAAAGCTCGAAGCTCATTTATTGATTGTTAATAGCATAACCACTGGTTTATTTTTAAGCTCAGTTGAGGACTAAACCTTGCAATAGATATTAGAGCAATCAGATGTGAGCAAACACACATGTCAAAAGGAATTGCGGTAGAGAAAAACTTAGAAACCCCCACTGCTGATCTCTCCTGACAATGCTAGCTGCCCAATCTGAAAGGAGTATGCGGATAAATGACTTCTGACTTGCATGATCTAACATGATTATTCCAGATCGGTGGTTCAGGAAGTATTAAAGACAGAGGCTAGCATAACAGCTAGGAAACCCGCATTGTCAGAATGAGGTCAATCAGGGCAGCATCCATATTCCTCTTACGATGAGTGCACTTAAATTACCTGCTACAAATGTTCTGGGAGAAAAATCTAAATCTGAAGTAGCTTATAGTCTTTTCTCTCAGCAAAGGGTCTTCAAGGCTACTTACTTTACTCCAAAGTGTCTTATATAAGCAGACTGACTTTGATCCTGTGGATATTGTCGGTACTGGGAGATGAAAACCTTTTGGCTATGGAGACACAAACATCAGCATGGGGACGAGTCATATGAACATGATGCCTTGCCAGCACTCCTCATAAGAACCCAGTAAGTGGAATCCGGGTAAATAGAAAAGATGAAGGTACCTCACAGATAATACAAACCTATAGCCCTTGTTGGGTTTATATATTCTTTATTTAGCTCCTCAATAGTTGAGCATAGCTTGCTTTGCAATATAAATGGGTTCCTATGCCTTTGAAGATCATGGAAAAAAAATATGGTATCACTGAAATTAAACTGTCATATAGACATAATATTGTTCATGTCTGTCTTTATCTAAGTGCCTGGCCTGTTTAAGAGATATTGCTTCTGGCAGATTTGACAGAGGGCCTGGGGTCATTAGGGGGCCCCATGAGATGCCCCTGGTACCTTTCATAGGCTTTTTTAGGTGTGGTTTGCGTGTGGGCAAGGACACAGGGGCCCCATGATTTCCTAAGTTGTTAGTCCACCCCTGGTTGCCTACTTACTTTTTAACAATTAAACTTGTAATACAGTCTACACTCAGAGACACTGTGGGGTTTATTTACTAAAGCTGGAGAGTCCAAAATCAGACTCCCTTCTGCATAGAAACCAATCAGCTTCCAGGTTTCATTGCCAAAGCTTCATTGAACAAGCTGAGGTTAGAAGCTGATTGGTTTCTATGCAGAAGGGAGTCTGATTTTGCACTCTCCAGCTTTAGTAAATAAACCCCCGTGTTTCTTCCTTTGTGACTGAACATTGTAGGAGCAGCAGAATACTGAGGAATTGTCCAGTTCTCATTTTTAACATGCTCCTTGTTAGCACATGTGCACATTTATACCCGATTGGTGTCCTCCCTTACCTAGCCTGAGTGCTTCTGTACAGGGATTATAGGAAAATGATGACAAGTCCAATTTTGGTGCTTACCAAAGAGGTCTTTAAAAATACATTTTAATATGTTTCAATAAATGTATAACTGCACGATCTGATGTATTTCTATATGTACCTGGAGTTTACCTGCTGGAATCGTACTTAATCTATCTGCTATTACTATCCCACAATATCAGCTTCTTGCACTCACCTCTCAAATTTCTCAATCAAGGAGGTAACTGCTGAGGGAGTCCCATCCTTGTCCGGACGCAGAGCCACCCGTGAGAGTCGGGGGTCTGCTGGCAACGGACGTGAAGGGGGTGGAGGAATATGACCCGGAGGCCGGGGTCTTCTCACGCTCTGCAGATGTGCGGGCTTTGGAGGAACTGTACAAAAAGTAAGCAGATTCCGGTTATAACTGAACATTAGCATTTTTATCAAAGATACAAAGAACAAAAGACATCTGTTTGCATCAGATTTAAAATAACATGTTTTTATTGTCTGTGATTTTTTTTTGTAAAATTAAAGTTACTGTAATTTCAGATTGCCTTTTAGCGTGAGGGCTTCTGCAGCTATGGTGGCCTGCTTGAACATTACAGTCTAACTAAACACAAACCTTTTTTAACTAGATTTTCATAGACTGGTGAGGGGTTGCAACGTCAGGCTTTAATTGCTTCCCCGTTAGGGAGATATATTCTTTCCAATTGTCCTGGTTCCCGGGAATGAGGGTGATGGGTAAATCCTAAATTTTAAATTGCCACCAGAAAAGTAAAAGAGAGGACATCTTTCAATGGGGACGCTAGTTCCTGTGACAACTGTCTAAGAGAGGGCTTCCCTGACATTGGAAAGATATCCTCTGACTACCTGTTGAGTATACAAGAGGAAGTAAAGAGAAATCTCCCTAGGGAGACACAGAGGGCAGTTTCAACTATTCCCCTCCCCCCATCCTCCATCCAAAATTTAAAGTGGTTGTAAAGGGTGAATGTTTTTTACCTTTATGCCTACCCCGCCCTCACCTAACAGCCGATCACCTCCACTCCTCTCACCACTCCATCCCCCACAGCCATCTCCTCCTGTACCACTATCCCCTCCCTCCTAGATTGTAAGCTCGAAAGAGCAGGGCCCTCGAACCCCTCGTGTTCTGTTTTGTTACTGTATTGTCTCATGTACTGTCCCCCACTATAATGTACAGCGCTGAGCAAACCTTTTGGCGCTATATAAATACTGTATAATAATAATTCTATGCTTGAAGGTAAAAAAAACAGTGTGCAGCTCCCCCCCCCCCCAGTATTTACCTGAACCTGATCTTCATTCATGCTGTGGATGGGAGCCTTGACTCTATGAGGTCTCTCTCCTCATTGGTTGAGACACAGCAGTAGGAGTTATTGGCTCCCGCTGCTGTCAATCACAGCCAGTGAAGAGGGAGCGGGGACTGAGCCATGCTCTGTGTGTCCCATAGACACACAGAACTGGCTCAGCAGCGAGCACACTCAGCAGCTTGTACTGGGGGCACTCAGCCACAAGCACTGGCGAGGGAACTGAGAAGAGGAGTACTGAGGCTGTTCTGTGCAAAACCATTGTACAGAGCAGGCAAGTATGACATATTTGCAAGTTTGCTAAAAAAAACTGGTTTTAGACGTACTTTAATGAGCCTCCACGTGGCCAGAATAATGGGAATAAGTGTAAAATCGAATCCTAATATGAATCCTGTGACTATATCAAAGCACAAGGCTGCACACTAAGAGCCTTTATATACACCAAGATGCCTTTACTATCAAATAAAGCAACTGAGGCAGCTAAATCTCCATCAAAAATATTTGGTAGCTAAAATGAGAAAAGTTTAGAATATCTGCCAGGTTTTTGCTGCTCTTGGTGTCCCTGTTGGGAAGGCTTCTCCTTACTTCCTGTTATGTCACTGGGACATCACCACCCCACCTCTCCACCTTGTCCACTCAGAGAACACTTTGCATTCACTGAGAAAATGCTTTGAATTCTCTAAATTGTGCCTGTGCCGATAGGCCAACCTCCTGTGCCCTCAATGCAGCAGAGCAGCTGCTCAGCATGGGACCCAGAAACAACAGCAGGTAACTGACCCCTTAATCTTTTTACCGCCACCGCCATAAGGCTTACAGTGGTGGCACCATCAGTTGTGTGTGCACACTTCACAAGATGACTATTGGCTTCCTAATGAAAGAAACTTGGCAGCTGTATAGCTGCCTGATTGCTTTATTTGACCCCCGCAGTGTACCCCCCCTTCAGCTCCCCTACAATGCTTTCCAGGCTCTGCTGTCCCACTTGCTGCATGGCGGAGGGGAGGGAGAGCAGTGAACATCTATTTGCTGATCTTCCCTAGATAGCCAGGTTTTTGGTGACACTTTCTCTGGCCCTTGCGGCTCAATCAGCAATGGAAAGCAGGTGAGACACCAGCCATGAAACTTTGACATGTTGGGTATCTATTTACTTGGCAACCTCATCTTTTACATTTTACAAAAAAGTTGGGTAATATATTGTGTTTTTGTGCCCTAAAATTAACTTATATGTAATTTTTATTGAAATCCTTGTGCATAACATAGTGTGACATAAAAAATAGGAACGGCCACTATTTTTATTCTCCAGGGTGCTTTCAGAAAATATATAATATTTTTTAAACGTGTGCAAAAAATGCAAAAACAGCTTTGGCGGCAAAATGGTTAAAGCAGAACTCCTGGAATTATTATTTTTTTTTTAACTTTCATTGTTCCAGCTTTGCTTCATGTACTGTAAGTATCCATATCCGATGTCCAAAAGGCCCCTGGGGGTGCTGGAAATCACTGTAGCCCATGCCACATACAGTAGTAATCTTCCAGATGATGCTCTAGTGGTGTTCCCTCTGCACACTGTACACAGGGAGTCCCTTGCTCGGCACTTCCATCATTCAGAGAATACCTCGTTTTTGTTAAAGAACACAAGGTGTTTTCTGATTGGATAAGATAGGGAGGAGGAGTGGATGACGTTGTGGTCTCTACCTCGTCCACAGAATAGCTTGCATTCATTGCAAAAAATAAAATGTGTTCTGCGAATGGTGGCGGTAGCAAGTGAGTGACCCCCCTGTGTTCAGTGTGCAGAAGAGAAGATGCTGGAACAGTGCCCAGAAGATTGTGGCTCTCGCTGTATGTAGCATGGACTACAGTGATTTCCAGGACCCCTAATGGCTCTTTTGATATCAGATATGGATATCTGTATATATTCTTACTATATTTTCTTTATATAATTGTATATTTGCAAGTTTCTCTACTGTGTTACATGAGCAGAGATTAAAGTGGAAAAAAAGTCTGTGGACAACCTTAAATTCACTGCTACTCTTCTCCAACTACTGTGAGTTGCAAATGACAACTTAAAGTATAACTAAAGACAAAACTTTTATTTAGTTGTGTATAGAGTGGAGATGGATTAAAACACGTGTCCTGATTAATTGCTTTCTATACCCCCTGTGAGGGAGATTCAACCTCTGTAACTGTCCTGGTGACTGTAATCCCAAATCCCACTGGTCATCAAAACAGGAAAATATGGGAAATCTTCCAATGGGGAAACAAGTTCTGGTGACAGCTAGAGGCTTCATTTACACTTGAGGTTGGGGGGTGTAAAACCACACGGTTGTGTGTTGCATTTTTACCTGCAACAATGCTTCCTCACTGCCTGTCAAATGCCTCTGAAAAGAGATCCACTGTGGATCTCTCTTTGGAGGGCCCCACAATAGTAAGCAAGCCCTAAGGGGTATATTTATAAATCAGTCATTGTGCCATTAACCAGACATTCACTGCAGGTGAATTTTCCAGGTGCATGTGTTTTACATTCATTGATTCACCACCAGTAAATGTTTGGTGAAAGTTGGAGTTTACACCTACTAATAAAGAGTGCATTTTATATATATATAGTGCTCAGCATAAATGAGTACACCCCTTTTGAAAAGACTTTAATCAATATCTCAGTAAACACAAGAACGATTTCCAAAATGTTGACAAAGCTGAGTTTTATAGAACATTTGTTTATCTCATTACATGAAAGTGAGGGTAATAATATAACTTAGATTACAAAATCTTCAGTTTTACTCAAATTAGTTGATGTAAAAATGAATCCACCCCAAAAACAAAAACTACTAAATTTTGTATTTTGTATGACCTCCATGATTTGTAAGGACAGCATCAAGTCTTCTAAACATGGGATGAACAAGTTGGCGACATATTGCAACATCGATCTATTTCCATTCTTCAAGAATGACCTCTTTTAGAGCCTGGATGCTGGATGGAGAGTGATGCTCAACTTGTCTCTTCAGAATTCCCCGTAGGTGTTCGATTGGATTTAGATAAGGAGACAAACTTGGCCACAGAATCACTTTCACCCGGTTCTTCTTTAGAAATGTAACAGTGGCCTTACATGTGTGTTTTGGAGCATCGTCATGTTGGAAAAGTGCACGACAACCAAGCGCGAAGTGATGGTAGCAGATTCTCTTACAATATACAGCAGTACATCTGTGAATTCATGACACCATCATTGATATTCAGTTCCTCGACACCAGCAACACTCCTGCAGCCCCACAGAAGGACACTGTCACCACCATGTTTCACTGTAGGCACCATGCATTTTTCTTTGTACTCCTCACCTTTGCGACACCATACAGTTTTAAAGCCATCAGTTTCAAAAACATTTATCTTGGCCTCATCACTCAGAATGGGCCCTGGAAATTTCTAGGCGGGCTTTTTTTGTGCATGGGCTTTAGGAGAGGCTTCCTTCATGGACATCACCCATGCATGACATTCTTCTGCAGTATACACCATACTGTGTCACGGGAAACAATCACCCCAGTTTGGCTTTCTACTTTTTTAGCTAACTGCAGTGAAATTGCATGGCAAATTTCGTCAACCCTTCTCATCAGAAGAAACTCCTGTTGAGGTACTAAAATCCATGGAAGGCCTGGACATCTCTGTGAGATGGTTGCAGTTTCACTTTTGTTAAATTTTTGCATCACTTTTGCTACATACTCTGTCTGATAAGTAAAGCTTTGCTGATCTTCTTGTAGCCTTCACCTTTCTTGTGTAAAGAAATTTTTTTTTTCTCAGGCCTTGTGACATTTCTCTTCCATGTGGTGCCATTGCTGACAGCATGAAATGGGAGGGTTTTTCTTTTTTAAGTAATAACCTTTTATAATCAAAAACGTGTAAATAAGTGAGCGCCTTCCAAGTAGCAGCAGCTGTACACCAAAGGCACCATATAAAACCTTCCAATACACAATAATATACAAAAAAGGTGCAGCGCTAAAGCACAAATAAATGAACGTATATACACATGCAGAAAAACATGCAACAAATGTAAAGTGATACTGTGCACTCATATATATGCCACTATGTGGTGGCTAATGTAACGTGAGGAAAAATTGCTGTGTCCACAGATAAGTCCAACGTGAAGATGTGAGCAAGATCTCAACCGATCTATAGATTTCCAAACGACACAGACTGTGCACACGGTGAAACAGTGAGGATACAGATTACGCACTCACCAGATGCGCAACCTTTATGCGCTTTTATATAATATAAAGACTTCCAATATGTCATCAGAGGTCTTGTCAGATCTGGTCAGGTCCCCTTCGTTATCCCATACTTTGCACTCAGCCTTCTCATTAGGTGATGACCACTTTATGGATGTACCTGGCTCCCACAGGAGCTCAGAAAAAACAGAGGAGGCCAGTAGTGCAATATGTCTTAGGATACTTTATTCCCACACACAAACAGATGCTAGTCAGGTACAATGCAAGGAATAAAATTAAAATGAAGTACTGACCCAGTATAAAGTTGCCGCCGGGACCCCTCGTGGTGCCGGCGGTATTAGCGTCAAACAGCTGCAGCCCGACCCTGACGCGTTTCGAGCGAAAAGCTCTTAGTCATAGGGTTTTTGGCTATGATAAACCCTATGACTAAGAGCTTTTCGCTCTGTCATCACCTAATGAGAAGGCTGAGTGCAAAGTATGGGATAACGAAGGGGACCTGACCAGATCTGACCAGACCTCTGATGACATATTGGAAGTCTTTATATTATATAAAAGCGCATAAAGGTTGCGCATCTGGTGAGTGCGTAATCTGTATCCTCACTGTTTCACCGTGTGCACAGTCTGTGTCGTTTGGAAATCTATAGATCGGTTGAGATCTTGCTCACATCTTCACGTTGGACTTATCTGTGGACACAGCAATTTTTCCTCACATTACATTAGCCACCACATAGTGGCATATATATATGAGTGCACAGTATCACTTTACATTTTTTGCATGTTTTTGTGCATGTGTATATACGTTCATTTATTTGTGCTTTAGTGCTGCACCTTTTTTGTATATTAACCTTTTATAATCAACTGTCTGCTGGACACCTGTTTAGTGAATAATTAGACTCACCTGTAATTGAGTTCTTGTTAATTAGGATTTTTGTTGTACTAAATTTATCTTTGCTCCTAAGACTTTCATTGGGGTGTATTCATTTTTGCAACATGTTCTTGAATGAATTTGTTCGGAAAAAAAAATACTTTTTTATGTGTGCAAATGAACAAATCTTGTTTGCAATCAATGGTCCGCATTTGTGGGAGTATTTTGTAGTATAGTGTCCCATACAAATGTTAATTCTGAAAGGAAAGTAAAGGTTTTCTGACAAATCTATTGGGGTGTACTTATTTATGCTGAGCACTATATATATATATATATATATATATATATATATATTTATACACACACACAGTATATACTATATAGTATTTTACACCTATAAGCAATAGTTTCAGACAAACAGGATGGATAGATAGATAGATAGATAGATAGATAGATAGATAGATAGATAGATAGATAGATAGATAGATAGATAGATAATAGACAGATGATAGATAGATAATAGATAGATAGATAGATAGATAGATAGATAGATAGATAGATAGATAGATAGATAGATAGAATGGCTATGAGTAGGAGGAATATGAGTCACCTTCAGGTTTGGTGTGAGCTGGACGTCTAGGAGGAACCGGCTTGGGGTTGCATGCATCTGGGACAGACCCATTACAGTCAGAGGAGTTTCCAGGATCAGATCGGAGCCTCTGGGGTTTCTCTGGGTGTATTGGGATATGAGCTGGCTCCAAGGAGAGGCTTTTAACAAGCACTTGAGGCTTGGGCTGGGGCCCTGGAAAGAAAAGGATGTGTGGTAAGCAACCAAAGTCTTGACAAGGAGGAGTGATTCAGAGGAGAAAAGACTCTGACACATATGGAATGATTTAATAAAACAGTGCAAAGAACAGTGACAACCGACGGTAGCCAATCAAACATCAGGTTATTGAACTCTGTAAACAACAGTCTTTTTTTCAACAGAGCAAAAAAGAAGACAGGAAAATATATAAAAATGAGCTTATATCGCCAACTGCTGGCTGGAAAACTTATTGGTCAACAATTCTTCTTTACTAATAGTTATTAACCCCTTTGCGCCGGCGCCTCCCGGCCCTTTAAAAGTTTCAGAAGCCAGGAGGCAGGCGGGGTTTTAAGGTTCTGTGACCGCCGTGATTCGCTGTCACATGATCGGAAAAGGTCCCGATCACAAGGGGAGATTGGGACCTTTCCATGAGTCACAGACATGTATTTTTTAATGGCACGCAAATATGCGGCCGCTCGACATCAAGAGGCCTCATATTTGAGTGCGCTAGGTGTCCAGGGGTTATTATTATTAATAAATATCAGTAATATTTTTTTTAATCCTTAATGGGATCTTTTTCACATGTAGGTACAAAAAAACGTATTACAATAACTATATTTCAAGTCTAATGCAGTTCTAAAAATATAATCACAGATTTCTGTAGATTCCACTACAAATCTAGCATACTTGCTTAGTAAAGTTACAAGCAACTTGTTTCACCTAGTCTTTTTATAGAGATTTGTAGCTGTAAAAATAACACATTCTTGCCCCACCCAATAAGGACAGCAGTTAAATATAGCAATATTCTTTTGTGACACTCAGCTCCCTTTTCACTGGAGATAAATCGGTGTTACATGCTTCGATCACTCTACAAAAACATATGTAACTGTTGTCTCAACATCATTAGAGACTTTGGTGCTGTGTCTAGATATTACTCATGGCATTCAGTCTAATACTAGGCACCATATCACCTGCAGGACACAGGGTCAGGTAATACGACTTCCATCTAGTAACCGCAGCCACAGGGGCGGACTGACAACTCATGGGGCCCCCGGGCAATAGGGGATCATGGGGCCCCTGTGTCCTTGCCCACACTCAAAGCACACCCAAAAAAGCCTATAAAAAGGTACCAGGGGCATTTCATGGGGCCCCCTACTGACCCCGGGCCCTCGGGCAGTGCCCGAGTGCTCGAATGGACAGTCCGCTCCTGCACCCACCTAATATTGAGTAGGTCCCACTTTTGCCACCAAAACAGCGCAGACTCGTCAAGGCATGGGCTTCACTAGACCTCTGTAGGTATACTGTGCTATCTGGCACAGTATGCTGTTTTCGGACACCTTTCTACCAGGACCAGAATTAACTTTTTCAGCAATTTGAGCTACAATAGCTTTTATATTGGATAGGACTACACAAGCCTTTGCTCCCCATATGCATCAATGAGCCTTGACTGATTGAGAAATACACTCCCATTGTGGCTGATGTTAAAGAGACTGTGTCGGGAGCGTGAGATGCAGGAATCAAGTGCAGGTGACTTCCATCTAGTAACCGCAGGAACAGGGGCGGACTGAGAACTCATGGGGCCCCCGGGCAATAGGGGATCATGGGGCCCCTGTGTCCTCGCCAACACCCAAAAAAGCCTATGAAAAAGCCAATGAAAGGTACCAGGGGCATCTCATGGGGCCCCCTACTGACCCCGGGCCCTCGGGCGGTGCCCAAGTGCTCGAATGGTCAGTCCACCCCTGCGCAGCCATATTTACTAAATATAATAGACCTCAAAGCATCATGCGGGTTATAAGGAGGGAAAACAATTTAAAAAAAATGTGTGTTCATTGGCCTGGGAGCTCATACTTGGCAAAAAAAAAAAAAGATTAATAAAAACACTTATTCTCATCAGCCAATGAAATGTCAGCTTTTTATCATTTATCATATTAGGGAAGTCAGAATAAAAACATTCTGATTAGTTGTTTAGGGGAAATGCTCAAAGACCGTAAACAAAACCACGCGACGCTGGCTAAATAAAAAAACCCCTTGATGACGAGGCTACGCACATATTCAAGTTGGTCTTCTTCCGTGGGGAAGCATATGTGCATACTAGTGTTTGTGCTGATAGAGAGCTGCACAGAGACTGCCGGGTCTTGTACTAACGAATGAGTGTCGGAAGGACTGCCTCTCGATGACATGAACACTGTGGTTGGCTAAAACAGTGATCAGTAACTATACAACATGTCCCTGTGTTCTTTTTAGTGGTGCACCGAAATGAAAATTCTGGGGCCGAAACCGAAAATTCAAAATGAACTTGGCCAAAAACCGAAACCGAAACGCGCAGTTTTTAAAAATGAATATATATTTTTTGGAAAAAAATACACTTTGATTAAAAAAAACAATACATACCCCAATTTCTTTGTACAATATGAAAGAGGATGTTACGGCGAGTAAATAGATACCTAACATGTCACGCTTTAAAATTGTGCACGCTCGTGGAATGGCGTGAAACTGCGGTACTTAAAAATCTCCATGGGTGATGATTTAAAAATTTCTACAGGTTAGCAGTGTAAGGTTACAGAGGAGGTCTAGTGTGAAAATTTTTGCTCTCGCTCTGATGTTCATGGCGATACCTCACCTGTGTGGTTTGAACACCATTTACATATGTGGGCGTGGCCTACGTATGCGTTCACCACTACGTCCTCCCACTCTAACCGCGCATGAGTGGCTCCCGGAGCGCGCAGTGCGGTGATCGACGGTGCACGTTGTTTCTCGGACAGTGGGTCACCGATCCACAGAAAGAGCCGAAGATGTCGGCTCAGTCATGTGATCAGCTGTGTCCAATCACAGCTCATCACATGTAAACAGGGAAATGCCGGTTATCGGTATTTCTCTCCTCCCAAGCTGTCACGTTGACAGAGGAGAGGAGAGCCGGTAATCGACATTCCTCGGAGGGGACATGTACACAGATCATCAGAGCACTGATGATCAGTGTGCCCTGATGATCTGTGTAGCCTCTGCAGCAGTGCCAGCTCTCAGTGCTCATCCATGCCACCTGCCAGTGCCACATCAATGCCACATATCAGTGCCCATCTGAGCTGCCTTTCTGTGTCACCCATCAGTGCCAGTCAGTGCCACCTATCAGTGCTGCCAATCAGTGCCAGTCAGTGCCGCCTATCAGTGTGCATCAGTGCCGCCTATCAGTGCCCGTCAGTACTGCCTATCAGTGCCACCTAACAGTGCCAGTCAGTGCCACCTAACAGTGGCAGTCAGTGCCGCCTATCAGTGCCAGCCAGTGCCACCTATCAGTGCCGCCTATCAGTGCCATATATGAGTGCTGCCTTTCAGTGCCGATCAGTGATGCCTGTCAATGCCCATCAGTGCCACCTACCAGTGCCTCCTCATCAGTGCCCATCAGTGCCACCTATCAGTATCCATCACTGCAGCCTCATTAGCGCACATCAGTGAAGGAGAAAAATCATTTATTTACAAAATTTTATAACAAAAACTAAGAAAAAACTTTTTTTTTTTTTTCAAAATTTTCAGTGGTTTTTGGTTTGTTTAAGAAAGAATAAAAAACCCCGAGGTGATTAAATACCACCAAAATAAAGATCTATCACAAAAAAATTATAAAAATGTAATATGGGTACAGTGTTGCATGACCGCGCAATTGTCATTCAAAGTGCAACAGCGCTGAAAGCTGTAAATTGGCCTGGGCAGGAAGGGGGTATAAGTGCCCGGTAGGCAAGTGGTTAAATAAATTAATATAGATAAATAAGATAAATCAGGGTTTGATCTAGGTCACGCTCAGGGTTAGGGTCAAAGGTCACGGTCAGTATGTTTTAGGCAAGATTAAAAAAAAAAAAGCTTTTTTGTTATTTAGTGCCAGTGTGTTATAGATCGAATAGAAACCAGGAAAATAAGCATTTCTGGGCCCTTACTACAGGTACAAACAACATACACATAGACTGTATGATATCTCTGCAATAGTCAGGAGCAGGAGAATTTATTTCGGGTTGTTCTTTCTGTATGGGTTATGCTAATAGCAGGAAATATACAGATAATTTTTTTTTAACTATTTGAGCCAGTTTTCCTTTGATAATAATAAAAAAAAAAATCAAAAGATGTCCAATAACTTTTACCACCAAAAATACAAGGTATAATCCACTGGATACACTAAGTAATTGGAAAGATGTGTACAGTTTTACTAACTCATACCCAAGTTGCAAAACAGGTTTCAGGTATTAATATTTGCTTTACCTTTGTCCTTAAAGCGAAACTTCACTCAAAAAGGGAAATCCCGCTGGTTCACTCCCATCCCCCAGCCTGTAACTTAGTTACAGGTGTTTGGGGGGGATCTGCACCGAGCTTTACCCTGCTTCCTCCCCTCCAGCAGCTTCCTGGGACACATCACATGGTCCAGGAGGCTGCAGGACCATTCACAAAGCACTGCATGAGCTCGCTGTGGTTGCTCAGGAAGCCATGGCGGGCTCCATTATCTGGCGGTGCCAGGGACCCACAGAAGTAAGAAGAATTGGCTGTGGGAAGACAACGCTGGACAGGTAAGTACCTGTGTTTTAAAAGTCATCAGCTGCAATGTTTGTAGCTGCTGACCGTAAAGAAACAAACAAATTGAAGTTCCTATTTAAAATGGAACTTTACCCATAACAGTCTGATAACAATTAATATTCTCAAGTGTGTGCTATACATTGCCTCCAGCAATGCTCCTGTTTTGTATTGCTGGAGGCCGCCATTTTGCTGAAGCCCACAGCAGTCACTTCCTTATTGGAAGCAGGGGCGGACTGACAACTCATGGGGCCCCCGGGCAATAGGGGATCATGGGGCCCCTGTGTCTTTGCCCAAACTCAAAAAAGCCTATGAAAAAGGTACCAGGGGCATCTCATGGGGTCCCCTACTGACCCCGGGCCCTCGGGCAGTGTCCGAGTTTCCAAATGGTCAGTCCACCCCTGATTGGGAGTTATGTTAAGCACCCTGCTTGCCCCACCCATCAGCCAT